GCGGCCCCCTTCCCCAGCCCTTCGTCTCCCCCTCCCCCTTCTCTCCCCTTCCCGAGCGTGGATTCCGTGTCAAGAGGACCTTGAGCATCGGCTCCGAGCCTCGCATCCCACTCACGGCACAGACGGGCACCGGGGACACGCAGACACGCACACCCGAGACACACCCACACACACCCACACCACGCGCGCGCACCCACCCGAGACACCCCCCACGCGCGCGCACCCGAGGCGCACACCCACGCGCATACACCGACACGCCAGGTAACGCCGCGCAGATGGCGCGCAGACACATCCCCCCGCAGCCAGGGTCTCCCAGGACCCAGCCCCCACGTCCCCGTCCTGCGTGGGTTGCTCCCAGCCCGCCCCTCCCCCACTGCGGCAGAGCCGGAGCTGGGCCCTGGGTGACCAGGACGGGCAGGGGGAGGCCGGGGTGCTGCGGTGCCAGGATGGACCCCGCCCCGGCTTCCAGGTCCCCTTCCCGGCTCCCCAAAGGCCCTTTTCTCTGGTGCATTTCCACTCGGCTGGCGCGTGGCCAGCCCTTCAGGGCCCCAGGGAGCAGCGTGGCTGGGAGGCCGGAAAGCGCGGCCGCTGAGCCCCTGCTCTGGTCCTGCTCCCCACGACCCTAGAACTCCGGGGGGCGAGGCACGTGCACCCCCACACAGGTCTCCTGCCCCTCTCCTTCTGAGCAATCCCAGTCCCCACCCCATTCCACCCCCACCCTGGTCCGGGGAAGACCTGGGACAAGACCGGGGGTGGGGGCAGTGGGAGCTGGGTCTGGCGGGCAGGGTGGCAGGAGAGGGGGCAGCCACCGCCCATCCCAGTCCCTCTGCCTCTGCCTGCTCCACTCCATGTCCTCCCCTCCCCCAGCGTTTCTGCCTCTGGGTCCTGTCATCATTCCCTCGCAATGTGCCCTAAATGACAGACGGCCTGCACCTTCGAGGGGCTCTCCTTGAGGCCATCAGATCCCTCTATGGAGACAATGTATGCTGCCACCTCCAGGCAGCCCTACAAGCCTCAGCCTTCCCCTAAGCAGCCTCTTGATGTTCATTGTGCCATTTGGGCCCATCGGAGCCAGCTTTGGGCTGAGTCTGAGCCGGAAGCCGGGGCTGGACCCGCCAGGTTGGGCTCTGGGACCCTCCTGAACGGTGGCGCTTGGACCCCCAGAGCAGCAGCCAGAATAGCTCATCTGCCATCTCCCGTCATGAGGCCTTGGGGACCCTTAATGACTCACCCGCCAGGGTCTCCCCAGTTTAACATCTGCACGTGGCAGCCTGGGGACTGTGGTGATGTCCCCAAGCTCCCCAGAAGCCCCTGCTGGGCTCTGGGCCGCTTCCAGCCCCCCTGCCCCAGAGCCCAGCTGGCCCAGGCACCTCGAGGGCACAGGCTCAGTTCTCCAGGGAAAGATGCCTCCCAGGCCGGAGGCTTCTAATAGCCCACAGCTGTCCCGTAAGGTTAACTAGGGCGCCCAGGAGTCCCTGTGAGCAAGACCGACCTGGGCCCTGCCCTCCCGAGCTCAGAGTCCGGCCGGGAATCAGAGGAGGGATGGTCGATGCCAGCGCCATGCTTAAGGCTGCCATGCTTGCTTATCCACGAAGTAGGCACTGCCCTGAGCCCCATATTACAGATGAAGAAGCCAGGGCACAGAGAGGTTAAGCCACTTTCCCAGGGTCACACAGCTGAGCTCCAGGTAAGAAAACAGTGAGAAGGGCTGTGATGGGGGAGCTCAGGGCAACTGCCCCCTCTGAGGCTGGGGTTTGCTCCTCCAGAAAACTGGCCCGATTTCCCCCAGCCCAGAGGGCAAGGCTGAGAGGGCAGGGCCGCAGCCAGGGTCCACACCTCGGTCCTACTCCTTCATTCACAAATATGTCCTTGAGCATCTCCTGTGTACCGGGCTCTGTGCTGGGCCCTGTGAACAAGACAGGCAGCCTTCCTGATGGGGAGCCCACATCTCGGGGAGCCCACGTCTCCGCTCTGAGGAGGCTGCGGATGGGGCTGGCCTCGCAGGTGTGACCCTGCAGTGGGCTAGCACAGCCCCTCGCCTAGAAGGGCCCCGCCCTGGGTTTAACGTGCCCCCC